GAAATGATTCACATGCAAAATAAAAGCCCCTTATTAATTTGTATTCCTAATATTTTAGTTAATTATTTAAAGACTGGCTACCTCTAGGTATAATGACATAATTAAATCGTATTCAATCAGTCTTCCGATCTTTTTGAAACTTTATCCTGCCAAAAGACTGAACTAAAGTTAATTACAAATCTTTAAATTACATATGTACCTACACAGAAATTATTTCAAACGAAATAGGCAAATATATTTCAAAAAAAGAGCAGAGTGTAAAAAGCGGGTCTCTACTTGTTGAATTGAGTAAATTTTGTGAAAAAGCGTATGTACGACAAACTATTCAAAGAAGAAATAAAAAGCACGGCTTTGTGTTTTTTTAATAATTAAAAGACGTTAAGTCAACTTACGCTGAACATTTAATAGAACACAAACATGGTTTTAATGAGAATTTTTAAGTTCTATACCTTTAAAAAATAAAGGTTTCTCTAAATTTCAGTTAATTACTGAAAAATCTCTACGAGAAGACGGAATTATGTAATTCGTCACTTTTAAATTTTTAATTATTCAATTATACAAGTATATTTTCCTATCTTCCACCCTTTAAATCAATTAGTTAGGTTAAGGGATGGCCAGAAATAAACTGAACATTTTTCATCATATTCTCATTATTACATGATATACACAATACAAAGCGTTGTGGTGTTATAGGACATCAGGTAGGAACGAAGTTTCTTACGGTATATAAATTTTAGTCAAGGTATTTTGAAGTTTCTCTTGATCCCACTCCTTGCGCAGCAACCGGTCCAGGATTGTTATTCTTATCATAAGCTCCTGCCGTCAATATCAATCACACATTGTAATTCACCAAAATTAGTGTAGCGAACAGCGTCCATTCATCTCAAGTCTCATCTAAGATGGTCAGGTATGTTTACAGCTTGCACAAATTCCATCCTAGACCATGGGCTATTAAAGATCCGTGGTCTTTTCCTGACGAATTCCTGTCGTTTTGGTGGTTTCATTGTATGCTTACTCCACAGTGAGCAGCTTCACATCAATGATATTAAAAAAAACTTGGCTGTTTCATGCTCATTAGGTAATGTTTGAAGGTTAGTAGTCCATCCAACCTACACTGTAATTCACAGCCGAAAAGTAAAAATGGAAGATCTTGTTTAGCCTCCTTTTAAGAATCGTGGGAATGGGTAGCTGGTGGTTGGGGAGAGGTAGGTGAGACGAACGAAATGAAAAGGAATGAGAAGAGAAAAAACTTAAAATGCAATAATAAAATGTACAAACTTTCTATTTTTGAAATATTTCACGAAAATTCAGAGAATTCTGTATGGGGCCCGTTTATAAAATACGTTCGTAAATAAAAAGGAGGGAGGGACATTACTTAGCGTGACGAAATATGACAAGGAGGGGATTCGAAGGAAACGTAATGTTCGCAGTTCATTAATTTCCATTTTAATTTTTTTCTTAACTTGTCAGTTCTTATAACATATTTTTCATTGCGATAGAAAACCGTTCTCATTGCTATTTTTAATCACAAGAAATCGCTTATAGTGGGTTGGGCTAACTTTAGTAACGTAATATTTGTTAAGGGGCTTGCTGAAACTGTAGTGTATCGTGACGGCGGGAGGGGTCCGAAAAGGTTAAATTCTGAGTGACATATTGTAAGGACGGCCCCTATTTAATACGAAAGGGAATACTCCTGTAATAGAAATTTAATTTTTTTTAGTTTATTTTTTTCGAAATGTGCTGCTCCTAAGAAGGTGCCACCCGGAGCGCCCCCTGTTGATACGCTACTGAGCAACAAGAAATAATTTATGGATCGATACCTTTGAGTATTCTAATCGTAAATGCATGACGTTGAAATATAAGTAAACATGTCCTATATGTATATCAGGGGTATTGTAATTACAGACAAGTACGAACATCATTTTGAAGACATAGAATGTCAGTGTTAGAATGCACATATGCACACGAGGGAAATCAGCCAACTTCCGTAACTGCGATGCATAAGATGCAAAGATTTGATTAGATGTGCCATCAGCCGGAAACCAATTAGATGAGATGTAGGTTGTGCAGTGGGATTTATCTGTATAGGTGTCTGTCCCTAGACCCCGAATAATGCTACTACCGAATTGATTCACGTTAATTAAAGTCGTCAATTTACTAATGCAACCGCGTGTCGAATGTGACGAAAATATGCATAAATCTTTCAGGGTAAAATATTGTTCATTACCCGTTGTTTAATTAAAATATAAATAAGCAAAAGCGGATTATTGATTTTTCTAAACTGTAGTCATGCATAGGTGTTGGTTTTATGTTTCCGCACCGAGCGGCATTACCTAGAGGTTTAGACTATTGCTTAGCATTCGAGAGGACGTCGGTTTAATTCCGAGTCCGCCTGCCTTTGTCCAAGTTTTTCTGTGGTTTCTTTGGATCATTTAGGCAAATGCTGGGGCGGTAACATATTCCACAGATAATCTTTCATTCTCTTCTGTCTTCATTTCGTCCATCTCATCTTTTTCACTCGAACCGCTAGCCATCCATTCCCACGATTCCTGAAAGGAGGCTAAAGAGAGCCTTCCCCCTACCTTCCGGCGTAGTCTGGAGGGACTGTCCATCCTCCAGCATTGGTGGCTGGTAGGAATGAAACACCCAAAAGTTTAAAAAAGTATATGTTTCCACGTACATATATTTTTGGTACCTTGTTCAGGAGGGTGAGACCTATTGATTAACGAATCGTCCTCATTTCTAATTGATGATGAAGAGCTTCTGGGCTTTTCTGCCGTGGTTGAGTTCTAACTGCAGACGTTTCGTCATGCTTAATAGATGGCACCTTCAGTGCTTCATAATGTGTGATCGGTGGCTGAATGGATAATGTGGGATCTTAGGCGTGCTTATTGATTTCTGTGTTACTAGAGAATAATGGAATTACGACGATTTTCACACCTACGACGAAAATACGCCAGCAACTACAATTAGTTACTACTTACATTCCATTTATATGGGTAATCAATCACCACATTAAGTGATTGAACTTTTCTGGTTTTGACTATTTTCCATCAAAGTGGTAAAGATTGGTTACTTCTTTAAGCGATGCATTGACAAAAATTAGGCCTACTCATCTCACATAGATAGGAACGCTTGTAGAATTTTCAGTTCCAGTAAAGTATAAATCAGCTTAAGCATGTTCGGAAATAGAACATATTTTCGGCAATAACATGTACTAGGGTCAATTGAAAAGTCCCCGGCCTGACACATAGATGGCGGCACCAGAACTAAATCCATATGATTTTCAGTTAGTCCTAACCTTCAAAAGACGCGTCTATAAATTTGACGGCTGTCGGATCATTAGTTTGTGAATTATAGCATTTTTAGTGAAGCAACTTTTGTTATTGTGAAAAAAATGGATAAAAAGGAATTTCGCATGTTGATAAAATATTGCTTTTTGAAGGAAAAAATACAGTTGAAGCAAAAACTTGGCTTGATAACGAATTTCCGGACACTGCCCCAGGAAAATCAACCATCAAGGATTGGTATGCTAAGTTTAGACGTGGTGAAATGAGCACCGAAGACGGTGAACGCAGTGGACGCCCAAAAGAGGCTGTTACGGACGAAAACATTAAAAAAATCCACAAAATGATTTTGAATGACCGTAAATTGAAATTGAATGAAATAGCAGACACTCTACAGATATCAACGGAACGTATACATCACATCATTCACGAATATTTGGGTATGAGAAAGCTCTGTGCAAAGTGGGTGCCGCGCGAGCTCACTTTTGACCAAAAACAACGACGAGTTGATGATTCAGAGCAGTGTTTGAAGATGATCACGCGTAATAAACCCGAGTTTTTGCGTCGATATGTGACAATGGATGAAACATGGCTCCATCATTTCACTCCGAAGTCCAATCGACAGTCATCGGAGTGGACTGCACACGATGAACCCGCTCCAAAGCGTGCAAAAACGCAACAGTCGGCTGGCAAGGTTATGGCGTCTGTATTTTGGGATGCGCGTGGAATAATTTTCATTGACTACCTTGAAAAAGGAAGGACCATCAACAGCGACTATTACATAGCGTTATTGGACCGTTTGAAGGACGAAATCGCCGAGAAACGACCGCATTTGCAGAAAAAGAAAGTCCTGCTTCACCAAGACAATGCACCGTCTCACAAGTCAGTGAAAACGATGGCAAAAATTCATGAATTGGGCTAAGAATTGCTTCCGCATCCACCGTATTCTCCAGATCTGGCCCCCAGCGACTACTTCCTGTTCTCAGATCTCAAAAGAATGCTCGTTGGGAAAAAATTTTCGTCGAATGAAGAGGTGATCGCCGAAACTGAGGCCTATTTTGAAACAAAGGACAAATCGTACTACAAAAATGGTATCGAAAAGTTGGAGGATCGCTATAATCAATGTATCACCCTTGAAGGGAATTATGTTGAATAAAAAAAACGAATTTTGCAAAAAAAATGTGTTTTACTATTTTAGGCCGGGGATTTTTCAATTGACTTGTTAGATGTATGGGTACGTGAGCATCAATCGAGATCGGTCCACCTGTGTCTGTGTTTGATTTAAAGTCCTAAAAATTAAGATTAATTCATTACCAGATAAGTCTGAAATGTATATTATTTGATTTGAAAGCAAATTTGTCGAATTTCTATTTATATATAACAATACTTGATTAATTGCAGCTAGTTGGGTCTATTTGACAAGTTCCTTCTTTTGTGTTTAGAAAGTGGCAAAACATGAGACTCGGATATCGGATAAGTATTTGCAAATACTAGGTAACAAACAGACGGACAGAGTAGGTAGCATCTGGCAAAAAAGTAATGGAAAGTGCCACGCGAATAGCCCGAAGAAAAAGTTTTTGCTCGCGCTGCTCTGTACAATTATCATAAATTTGTAATTAAAACCGTTTAGAGAAAGTTGTGACACAAAGTGTTCCGATATGTTTCAGTCTGCGTGCGATCATGGATGGTATGCGGTCAAATCCACTTTATTATTGTTATTCTTCAGTTGTAACAGTTGTGATGTTAATATTGTTACTGTTGAATGCCACATCAGCAAAGTGTAAGTACCTACTTAAATCATTATTTAGCTAAAGTGTTGTATACATGCTATTAATCATCTCAAATAAGTGGCCTCTTCAACATCATTGTAATTGAAACAAGCTATTCAGGGAACTGTTATTAAGTTATATTAGTCACAATCAAGCTGTTTACAGGGTCTTTGGAAAACCATTGCTGATACCACTGAAGTAGTTAATTAGACGTTAAAATATAATTTATTTATCTTAAAATTACTTTTCTTCATTTAGAAATTGCTAACGTTCAAAGAAAAACAACCACACCAGTGTAAAGTTACCCTTGTATATGTCATTTGAGATTAATGCAGAAACGAATAGAGGGGATGTCCCTGGGTAGTGTTACAAAGGGACGTCTTTCGATCCTAAGGCTAGTTTTTCCATCAGGAAGCGTCAGAGTTGGCCAATATTGATTTTGCTATTGTAGGGATTTAATTTGATAGTACAGACGTTACTGAAAATCGTAGTGTCCTTTTTTCTTATTTATTTACAACTATTTACGAGCTGATATTTACAAGAAACAAACGCGATCCTCGGACAACCTTCTCCTTTTAAATCTGAACAACGGCTTCCCTTAACTTCGATCACCAACTTCCAAACGCGCAACCTGGTACTCCATGGGTAGAGTACCATAAAACTATAAATCGTTTAATCATCCTTTATTCATAACATCTAAAATAATATCTTTAGTGTCTTTAGTATAATTATTAAAAAATAATTAAAGAAAAACACTATTTAAACAATTAACCAAAATTTTATGCCAACAACAAATTAAACAACAAAACAAACAGATGGTAAAAATAAAACACAACAGCCGAAACACACAAAGAAATAACAACAACAATAATAATAACAATAACAAAGACAACAACAATAGCAATGATAATAATAACAATTTATAACAGGAAAAGAGACTTACTAACGAGACGGTTGAATGTAGAGACACAGATGAATTAATTTCTGATAGGGATGTTAGGAGTATTTATAGTTGGAAAATGTTAGTAAAAAGAGATAGAATACTCAAGATAGACAAAGACTGGCAATAGGGGTTGAAGACACGAGCTTACAGAAATACGAAGAATTGAAGAGGTTGAACAGTATAGAATTTTAGGTAAGGTAATTAAGGGA